GTTTCTCTATGTTATTAAATACTAAATTTCATTAATTTAATTAAAAAATTTCTCCAACCAAAGGAATTTTTCTTTGATAAAATATTGTTGTGGTCATGGTAGTGTCAAACTATGTGTTAAGCCCTTAGTTTTACAAACTTACTCTTTAATTCGAAATTTCACCGTACACACAATAACAATGAACACAATAAACATTCGACAATATTTTTTCTTCATAATTATTCATCAAAGATCTCATTCGACAATTTATTTTATTTTATTTTATTGGGTCTTGAGTTAACACAGTGAAATTTCTCTATGTTGGACATCAGTTGAAGTAAATTGTCGAACATGGTTACTGGCGGATGAAACTGGTAGCCAGAGGTGGTGGAGTAATGAAACTAAACTAAAGGTGGTTTTGTCCAGAAAAAAGGTTAATGTCCTTAAACTAACAAATATATTTTAATTATCAGTAAAATAATACAAAATATTTACTAAAGAGTTGAATAACAAAACCCTAGATAAATTGGACCACTAAAAAAGGGTTTCAATTAGCATTTTGTTAGCATTACCGGGCTTGGAATCACCGGACCATATGAAAGCCTTGCAATGACATTCATTAAGTAGATTTAAATACCATTAAGTCCTATTGACTTTTCAAATTCACCCATAAGTCCTACAATACTTATATATATATCAAGTTCTTTCATCTTCTCTCTCTCTCTCTCTCTCTCTCTCTCTCTCTCCACCATTTTTCTAAAAACTTCACACCACCATTGTTTACCACAATCACCGTCACTGTCATCCACTCGTCACCACCGCCATGGTTGTCTACTTATCACCACCACCACGACCACCACCACCACTGTTGTTATTCGATGCTACCACCATTCACCAACTATCTCTACCATCGTCGCAAATTTATATACACTTTATCGTCATAGATCTACATTCCACCATTGCCGATCTACATAACCATCATATCATCACCACCTCATTTGTTTCTGATTTATTTTTCAGTTATAAATTTATCAATCTTTCTTATTTTACGTGTATGGGGAAGAGGATTGGGGATTCTTGTAAGTGAGTGAATGAATATGAGTAAGGATGATAGATATTAATGAATAAATTTATAATGATAAATTTATTAGTCAGAATTTAGAAATAAATAACTTTAGTTAATAGAACTGGCTCGTAAGTGTCCTTAAAGTTTATGTCTTTGTTTATCCTTTTCTTTTATTTTTGTAAGGGAAAAACAAGCCATCTCGATGCTTTGGGAGTGTTTGGGAAGAGGGTTGAGTTAAAATAGTTAATAAAACAAAATGTCACATCTCTCATAATTATTTCACTTTTTCTTTCACAACCATCAAATCATCTACAAAAAAAAGACAACCAACTTCTCATACACAACTATTTTAGCTAGGTTAAAATAACTAAAAAGTCAAATAACTAACTAAAATAGTCAATTTTCCATTATGCATGTCATTGTCAAGAAAAAGACATGTAAATGTAGAACTTTGTATGACACACAAATGTCCTTCAAATTTTTCTGACATCAATTTCCTTTCAAAAATTTTTGAAAATTTATATTAAAACAAAAAGGGTGAATTACGTTGATAGTTCCTATATTTTTTATCCTTATGTTTTTAGTTGGTTTAATTTTAACACTTAATTTTTAAGTTTTGTTAATTTGATCCAATTGATAATGTTGAGATTGTTGAGATTAACTCACCGAGCTAATAAAGTTTATAATTTTGTTCTTAAAAACATGAAACATGCTACTTATGATCACATTTTTCATATAAAAAAAGGGAATGGCTACTGTTGGGCCTATAGGAGCCCACCATGGATCCCTTTTCGATAATCCGAACCATCGATGTGTACAACTCATTGAATACTATATGCCTGTAAAAATTAAGTTGATCGGATATCGATAACTATGTGATCAAATCAGCTTTGTATGGAAATAAATTGACGATGAAAAATAAATGGCTGACAAAAATCTGATTTTATCATATAGCTCTCGATATCTGATCAACGTGATTTTTATAGGCATGTAGTACTGGACAAGTTCTACACATTGAACAGTTTGGATTATCAAAACGGGACCTATGGTGGGCCCCTACAAGCCCAACAGTACCCTCCAGTCCGATGAAGGACTGGAGGGAAGCCATTCTCATAAAAATAAGGGTAATTCTATTTACACACCATAAATTATTTGAGTACACACCATTAAAACAATAAATTTATATTACAGTAGTATCCTTAAATAAAATGACTATTAAGGACAACAATGGTGTGTATTCTACCAATTCAAATAATTCACACATCAAACACAAAATACACTTTGTACACCATCTCATGTCGTGTATTTGTTTATCATCTTCTCCATTATAATCTAACACACTATACTCATAATATCATTCATTATCAATTAGTTCACCTCAGTCTCTTCTCCATTATACTTTTATCTCCAACTTAAAACACTATTGCCCTAAAAGATTTAGGGTTTTAAAGAACATTGAAATCAATCAACTTTGAAAATTTGTACACCATGGATGAAACTCATAATATTGTTTTGGAACAATACAACACAATGAAAATTTACAAAGGCAACTTTGTTTTTTGGTTTTTGTCGTTCATAAAGTTGCTGGGAGGATGATTTTGTTGGCCAAACATTTGAATAACTTGAACATTTACACAATGTTCACATATTTATATTTGAACAAAACTACTTTTGTTCAAATTATTAAGATTGACCAAATATTAAATGTTCATACATAAGAAACTGAACATAATAAGTCCAAACAAGTTAAAGTTATTTATCATAAAAAGTCTTATCAATTTTGTTCGACAGAAATCATTTAAACATATTTAATTTGTTCAATTTTATTTTGTTGTACAAGAATAATATGTTCAAACAACTAATGTCGAGCTAAATTCGAAATAGAAACTATTATGGAAGGTGAATTGCTAGCCAAAGCAGATGCAAAAAATTAACTTAGGTGAGATTCAAATGTGACAATCACCATATCTTTAGAGGTCATAATCCAAAATGTTCAATGCTGGCAATACACCTGCGATCGTTTCTTTTGTGTAGTTGTTTCTTCAATACATCTATGACAATCCTTTCTTCAGTATCGGTGAGGCAACGGCAATCCTTCAAGGGTGAACGTAAAAGTGAATAGTCACGATGATGATGAAAGTGAGGTTGAACTGTATATAGTGTGATGTGTACGGTGATTTGTACTCAAATTTATTCTTTGTGTGTCTTAGGCTTGGGGTTAAAAAGGAAGATTATAGTGTGTTTTGAGTTGAAAAAAACAAAAAATGAAAATATCAAAGGTTTGAACTAAATAATAGTGTGTACGGAGACAATTTATGGTATTTAAATAGAATTTTCCAAAAAATAATTGTAATTAATCAGATTAAGTTGAGATAAAGTCATATATGATCAAAATTGAACTAATTAAAATCATAAGAACCAAAATAACATGAGAGAAGAACCCAAACTAAAATGACATTAACTCATTTTAAAAAAATAAACCTGCACACGAAAGGTATCTCTAAGTTGAAACTTCGAATTTGAAAGCTAATGAATCTGTTTCAATTTGTGGGAGAACGGTGAAGTGAAGATGGAAGTTGTGGTTTCAGTTGATTGACACCAACCAGTCAATTATGGGTTTGATCTCATCTGGCTCCCTTAGGCCCATTGCCTAGACCTTATATTGAAGGTTCCTTTTGCAGCAACTTAGATCATATCTACATATATGGTGAAAAAATGAAAACAATAATAGTAGATGGTCGTATACGACTTGTTCGCTCAAGGAATGAGAGCTTCATTGCTTAGGCATTGTGAGAAAGAGTAATATTAATTATGAGTAATTGGTTGTAACAATCGGTTGTTGTTGAGGATGCAATGACCGCATGCGGCTGGAGGTGGTCACTGCTGAGAGTTACTACGCTGGAAGTGACTATTTGGAAATTTTGGTCACTGCTGAGAGTTGCCACGCTGGCAGTGACTATTTGGAAATCAAAAATGCTAAAGACCAAAAATTTTATCAAATGTCTCACATGATGTAAAACTCACATAAGACTCACTTCCACTCATGTCTCACATAGTTATGAAATCCGCATAAGACCCACATGACATTTAGCAAGTTCTCTAACATTATTCTTTGAAAATAGTTTGAAAATGAAAACAGCGAGTGAATAGAATAAAAACCAATAAATGCCATGTATACTGTATGATTTTATCTCTGCTAGAGAAGTTAGCAGAGAGACCGTAAGGTTTGCATTATAGATTGTATTTGGTTAATAATTAAAGAGTTTAATTTCAAAAAAAAAAATTAAAAATTAAAAATTAAAAAATTTAAATAGAGTTTAATTTGTCACAAGGATAAAATTGTAGTTTTCTTTCTTTTTTTAAAAAATAAAAATAAAAATAAAAAATAGCAAACCAATACTGAAAACAAAACAAAACAGCATAGCAAAATAAACCAGTTTAGGACAAAAGAAACATATATACCATACAATAACCCCCCCAAAAAATCATGTCTCACATAGTTATGAAATCCGCATAAGACCCACATGACATTTAGCAAGTTCTCTAACATTATTCTTTGAAAATAGTTTGAAAATGAAAACAGCGAGTGAATAGAATAAAAACCAATAAATGCCATGTATACTGTATGATTTTATCTCTGCTAGAGAAGTTAGCAGAGAGACCGTAAGGTTTGCATTATAGATTGTATTTGGTTAATAATTAAAGAGTTTAATTTCAAAAAAAAAATTAAAAATTAAAAAATTTAAATAGAGTTTAATTTGTCACAAGGATGAAATTGTAGTTTTCTTTCTTCTTTTAAAAAAAAATAAAAATAAAAAATACCAAACCAGTACTGAAAACAAAACAAAACAACATAGCAAAATAAACCAGTTTAGGACAAAAGAAACATATATACCATACAATAACCCCCTAAAAAAAAATATTAAAAAAGAAAAAGAAAAAGAAAAAGAAGAAATAAAGATAACCAGTCCTTGAAGATAAGATGAATAACAAAAACAAAACAGTTAAGACTCTAAAGAGCTAAGTTCATCTCATGGGTCTACTGAGTCAATACCCGAACCCACCACCCCTGGTTTCAAGTTCAGAGAATAATACACACCATTGATCACCACTCAGTGTCAACAGTAGCAAACCAAAATACCTTCCTCTACTTTTTTACACCCAGAGCAATAAGGGTTCACCAGGGTTCGTTCTTGACTCAACCCATTCATTTCACACACAAATATTCATCTCTCTCTCTCTCTCTCTCTCTCTCTCTCTCTCCCTCTCCCCCTCTGTTTGCCAACATCACTATATCTGTCCTATATACGGTTCTCCATTTTTCCCAAAAACAAAAATTTTGGTTAACTAATGCAGGCACAGCGTTACCATGTTCAGTCAAGCGGTGTGTGTTAATTGCAGTGAAGAGCAGCTTTGATCCTCTGAATTGTGCGAGAGATGAGACTGTTTACAGTGTCAACAGACTCCATTGTGAGTTTGGCTGTAGGAGGGCTATTAACCCATAGCTGAAACCCCACAGTGAGCAGTGACCCACCTCCTCCTTTGACCAAAGTGCCGTTACAGTTTTCAGGCCCAGCAGAATCACAAAAACCGTCTGGAACTATTGCAAATCCTGATGGCAGGAGAGCCACCGAGGTAGAATCTCCTCCACTCATTACCACTTGCATCGCTTGTATGTCAACTGCTGCATACACTATGAGGGAGCCCAATGCATCTGTCTGCGTCTCTTGCAATATCAACGTGATGTTTCGATTTGTATTACCAGCCTGCTATGTTGTGCGAACAAAAAGTTAAAAAGAAGGGAAATGGTTTTAGTATTTTCAACCCATTATGAACACAGGCCTTGGGCTTCTCCATTTGGCAAAAACTTATAAAAGCTAGCTTTTGTCTGATATATTTTTTCTTTTCTGAACATTTTTTTCAATTTGGAGTCAAAATTTCTTTTTTTTTCAACTATTTATGTCGGTCTTGACTAGAGGATTCTCAAAATTTTAAAAATTTGAGTCAATTATGAAAAATATTAAAAAAAAGACAAAACTAAGTGAAAATTTATTTTATTTAAAAAAAAAAACTTACAAAAATTGGCTTTATTGTCTTTTCTGAACCTTTTTATATATATATATATATATATTTATAAAAAGAAGTTAAAATTTTTAATTTCAAGGATCATCTAGTCAAGACAAATCTACAACATAAAGAAGTTCAAATCAATTCTGAAAAAAGTTCACCAAAGCTGAAAATTAGTCAATCTAAAAAAGCCAAAGTCCCAAAAGAAGATGAGTAGTACTCACAGTAGCACGAAGAAGAGACACACAGTTGCGACGATCCTGACCTTTGGAAATGTGGACCATCTCTTGCATTGGCCCACCATGAGATAACTCATCCCACTCACTCCTCAGTTGCTCATCTTGCAAGAAATCAAACAGACGTTGCTGTGATACAGGCATCCAAACAGATGTCGTGGCACTCAACACAAGCCCAGGTGGTTCACCAGTGTTATCCATGCTATTCCGTATCAGCAACCTCAAGTCCTCACCCACATTGCCAACTTGAACCAGCTGCCACATGTGCATGCTCCCACAAACCCCGGCACAGAAGTTGCTAGTCATGCGTTGTGCCAACTGAACCATGCTTCTCCTACCGGTCGCTGTAACTCCTGTTGAACATAGAATTGACTATTAGAATCCAATTACCTTTTTGACAAAAGTAAAGAAGAGTGATTTCTAGTGGAGGTGAACCTGAATGATCTTCAGTAGAGATGGTAGAGGACATGAGGACCGCCAAGCACTCGTATTGCCTTTGTAGGGTGGCAAGCCATCTTTGTGCACCAAATCCCATGCCAGAGCTGAGTAATGCCCGGTAGAGATGGTGAACAACACTCTCATCATATTCTGTATGTTCAACCCAGGTAACCTGCAATTTACTTTTGGAATTACTTACTGTCTGTACTGTACTGAATACCATTTGTAATAATTATAATCTTTAAGAAAACTCTATTCATACAAAAATGTTTACAAGAAGAATGATGTGACAATGCCATTATTGTAAATAAATTCATCTTCAATTGTGTTTTGTTTTGAAGTGAAAAGTTTACAATGAGCCATATAAATGATATATATAAAAATTCTGTATGAATGAATTTGTTGATTGTATATCATTACTCTAATCTTTAACATGCTAGCATGCACGTGCATCCATTGTTAGTTACTTGAAGAGAGAGAGAGAAAGAGAGAGAGAGAGGCGCTAAAATATCACTTAGTATCTCCAAGGGGATAGTTAAACAAGGCTTGTTAGGCATTTTAGCCAGTGTAAGTCTAATTTTGAGCTCTAATGGGCTAACTATTGGACTAGCTACTTTACCATCCTATTTTTTTGGTGGCTACAATTGAAGAGCCCTAGAAGCTCTCCAAACAATTATGTATGTATATATTTTAGATTTTTGTATATTTATGTCTTGGATTTGAGATTTTATATATTATATATATATATATATGTGTGTGTGTGTGTGTATGTAGCAATTTTATATGTTCTTTCAATTCTGTTTGATGAATTACGGAATAACTTATTTTGTATTTTGTATTTTTTTTTTCTCCTCATTCTACAGGTTTTGTATGTTTGTATGAGCAAATTTATTATTATTGCAAATTTATATTAATAAAATATCAACAATTAGTATTTTTTTATTTTAAAAATTAATTAAATTAATTTAAATGGTTAGCTAAAATAAAGAGGGTGGTTGGAGAACACAATAGTTAACGTAATTAGGTAAAATAAAGAGTGTACTTTTTTTGTACTTTAGCTAGTGAAAAGTAGAGAGTGTGGTTGGAGCTGCTTTAGCTAAAGAAAGAATGAATCCATTTGAGTTTATTTCCTAAAGATATCTGTAAGTTTGGTTAGGATGAAAGTGGTGGAAAGTGAAGGAAATAGAAAATAAAACAAAAATTTCAAGAGTTTGTTTAGCTTGAAAGTGGTACAAGTTAGAAAAAAAGTTAATTTTCCTGTACAATCATAGTAGCATGGTAACTAAGTTGTTAGTTTCTTGCAAAAATTAATGGAAAGATAAAAGAAAGTTCAAATTTGATTATGAAAAGCGGTTAGTTATAAGTAGCATTCCTAATTTCTTCCTCTTTCCTGGCAAAATTTTCATCTTAATTAAATTCATATAAAACATTATATTTTCTTTTCTTCTCCTTTTTTTTTCACCTCACTTTCTACAATCTCACTTTTTACCAATTGTTTCTTGCTAATCAAAGGGACCCAGAAAGTTAAGGGGACTCTGTAACTGATTAATATGTTTGGGTCTATTCTACTACTCTAGCTAGGCAAAACCCACTTCCAGAATTTGCCAAGCGGCCTCTTTGCTTCATTTCCCTTTAATGGAAACATCACCTCATATTTTGTTGAGAAGCAATGATCGGTGGATTTCTGCGATGTGTGTGCACGCATGTGCATGTGCATGTGCGAGTGCGTGCGTGTGTGTGTAAGAGAGAGAGAGAGAGAGATTTCAAACTACTTAACTATGCAGGATATTAAAAAATAAATAAATAAATCCACAAAATCAAGGCTAAATGTACACACAAATTGCACAATCAGGCTCTGGGAAAGACAAATTGTGAAGTCAATCATAAAGAGGTGATGTTACCTAGAATAGGATAGAGACAAAGTACTTTCCATTCAATTATAAAACAGCTGCATTCAGAAAACTTGCCAAAAGCCATTTCATGCTTTTTTCAAGAAGAAAACAAGGCAGGTGTAATTATTTAAAGTAGAAAAGAGTGCAATCTAAGACTGTATCCAGGTAATAGAGCCTCGTGGATAACAAAGAAAGAGAGAGAGAGAGAGAGAGATCATAATATAAGCATGAAAAACATAGTCTATACAGCAATAGATGTAACCCCCAAGGCATTCACCTTAAAATACCATAACCATAAATACGTTTGATATGAAGAAATACAACTAAGGAATTCAATAACATTAAAATGTAGATTCCCTTGGTTTTGCTGGTCTCTATACTAACAATATACTAATTAAATGAAAACTAAGCAACCTCAGCTTTGAAATTTGAAGGTGATACAATATTTTAATCTATATGTATGCATTTGTATCAGTAAAATAATCATAGAAGGTTCGGACTCTTACAACAGTTCTGCTCCACATCATTAAGATATTATAGTTTGATCACTAATTAATAAAATACAATTTTACGAAGTACCAAGTCAAAGGAGGGTTGCAAGTCCAACCATCCATGACTTCACCTTGATGCATTCCCAAACAACATCAACACAGAGTTGCAACAACCACTTTATTATTGACCTAAAATGTGAAATATCCTTTGCAGGCAACTTCAATTAAAAAATATTAAGAAAACTAGTGAAGATTGCATGTAAAGGTCTAGGGAATGAATAATAGGCTACATAAGTAATTACCTTGGAATATCCATTTGGCATATCTTGCACAATACAACCAGAAGGAAGCCTCCTGCAATTGACAAATGTGGCCACATCTGAAACTTCTCGGATGCCATCAACAGACACATCAACCACGGCCCACACCTTCTCCGCATGCTGCTTGCAGAACCGGAGAAACTTCATATGACGAACAGGAACCAAAGGTGAAAGAGCTTGGAACTCTGCATGCATCTACAGTAAGATCTTTTAAGCTTTGCAGCTACGGAAAAAAGATATCGGAAAAAGGAAGTAGTAGTTTGAAAAGAAAGAAAAATACCAGTTGCAGAGAACAATTTCTGGATCCAGCCATGCCACTGAAAATCACATCAATAGTAGATGTTCTTCCAATCATACATGGGAACATTTCTGACCATTGATTCTACACAAAGGAATGCATTTAAAGAGACTATCAAACACAACATATCAGGCATTCTTACCTATTCAGAGTGCAATGATATGAAAGATACAAAAAGAAAATAAGAGAAACAATTTGAGCTGGAAATAGCAGCTTCTCTACTAAAGTGGCAAATCGATTGAGCCACCGCGTAAATGGAACTTCTTCCACATCACAAAAAAGTACAATAAGACAATTAACCACGGATGACAAATTAAAAACACAAATCATATTTTGAAAGATGGACAAAAAAGAATGGGGGGAAAAAAAAGATACATAAGGATCGAATATCTTACTGCATCCATCAATGTCTCCAAAAGAGCCAAGCTATTAGTGATCACCATACCAGTTGCCCTCGTAGCCTCGGTTACAAAACCACTGGGTTTCATTCCAATACAGGGAGGACATATCCTCATGTACTCTTCATGGTTCAATACTTCCCACCCTCCAACTAAGCTTTGGACCCAGAGAGGATCATCAATCCGAGCCAACTTAACCAACTCATCCATTGCACGCACCGCAAGCTCTAGAAAAATAGATTTCTCAAATGGCATATCATCGTGTGCTGTGCCAACTGTTAGTGTTGTTGTCACCATTGGCATCATTGGCAAAGCATTCAAAACCCCATCTTTAGAATCAAGTCCCATTGTAAATGTGGTGTCTACTGAGCTTAAACCACCAAAGTCATTTCTTCCTACAGCAAGTTCCAAGCTGGAGATTGACATTGGAGGAGGGATTGAATCACCTAATGCCGATATTGGCCTGCCCAAGAATTTGTTCGATAGGGCAGAGATCCGATGTAATTCATCCTTTAATCGAGCATTCTCAACCCTGAGATGGTGTTCCTCAATAGATACATCACCCAGAATTGCTGGGCCACCACAATTGTTGCAAATTGGGCTCCTCATGGCCTCCTTCATTCTAACATTCGCAATTAGAAGATCCTCATTCTGTTGTTTAAGATAACTATTTTCATGGCGTTCCGCTTGGGTCTGATCAAAATTGACTAATTTTAAGTTCCAGAACACATTACACATGAAAGATAAACAAAGAGAACGCAGAATGAGAATCAAAATTACCTTCAATTGGGTTCGTCGATTCTGAAACCAAAACTTGATTTGCTTGCTCTCCAAGGATAGCCGCTTACCAAGCTCCAACCTTTCTTTCTCATCAGGGTGATTATTGATTTTGAAGTGACTAATCAAATCAAGGAAAAAATTAAAAAAAAAAACAACTTTCATTTTTAAAACATCTCATTAATGAAGACAAAGAAACAATAAAATGTAGAAGAAAAAAAATTACGATTCAAGCTCTTGAATTTGAAAGGGAGTGTGTCGATGGAATTTCTTCCTCAGCCGTTTATCGCCTGAGGCATCCTGATCATCCCCTGATGCACCTTCCAAGTTATCACTCTCAGCCCTACTCTCATGCCCATCTTCTTTGTTCCTTCCCATCAGACCCATCTCACCATGTCCCTCCATCTTGGGTTTCTGCAAAAACAACCAAAAACCCACTTAAATAAAACATGAAAAACCTTTTAAAAAATATATCACTGGATGTGTGTATGAGACAGAGAGAGAGAGAGAGAGAGAGAGAGAGAGATGACACGTACGAGGGCAAGGGAGAGAGCTGGAGAGTTGAAGACTGGGCGAGTGAACAGGGGTGGTGGAGGCTGGCCCATTGCAGCGGTGGACATGGCGTTATAGGGACTATCAATCACCAGTCTTGCTTTCCCGCTACCATCGCCACCGCAGACACCGCCACTACCGCCATTGAAACCCCCAAGACTCATCACTCATCAAGTAGGAAAAAGAAAAAAAACCTTCCTTTCTTGTTCTGTCTCTTCCTTTCTCCAAAAATTTCTGGATGGAGACAGATCACTATCACTTTCAAAATAGGTATATCTTCAGATTTTCTTTTTTCCTCTTGACATCACCAGCACTTTTCAGATTGAGATATAGAGACTAGTAAAATAGTAAAAGATTTTGCCTTCACATCATCCAACAGCTACTCAAGCCGTGGAAAAGTCACAACAGGGTAAAGATATGACATAGGATGACCTCTCAACTCACCAACCACAACCCACAAAATTAAAGAACAACCAAATGGGGTTCGTACAAGACAACCAGAACCCTTAATACTTTCTCTATTTCGATTTAGGGAGAAAAAATAGAAATTCCTTTACAATGTGTTTGGGAAGTTAGGACAGAAAAGAAAAGAAATAATTATTTAAGTAATAAGAGAAAAAAAAATTGTGATTTTTCTTATTTTTATTTAGATAAGGAAGAAATGAAAGAAAGAAATGATTATGATTATGATTTTTCTAATTCTTGTTTGGTTAGATTTCATTAAGAGAAAAGAAATTATTTTATTTTATATTATCAAAATAACCTTTTATATTTTTAATTATTTTATTTCTTTTATTTTTATAGGGACAAAATTGGTATTATGAAAATAGTGATTTTTTTTCTCTCTCAATCTCTTCACTTTTGGAAAGATTGAAAATGAGGCTTATAAGATAAATGAGTTTCTCTTCATTTCTCCCAATTTATTTTCATTTCTCTCCACTTAAATTATCTAAACAAATAAGAGAAATGCATATCTCTCCATTTCTTTCTTTTTTTTTCTCTCCAAATCACTCAATCCAAACATGTTTGAATTAGATTTAAGAGTTTAAATAAGATATGTAATACCTAATTATAAGGATGTAATATAATATGTTATAAGATATAAAGTGAATTATATATACTGCGAGATCATTTATATAATGTTTGGTTAAGATATAATATATGATGAGATAATAGGAAATTAATTATTTTATGAGCTATATAGGGGGCAGTATTGCATATCTCTCTTTCGTATCATATACTATCTGAACTCGCTAAATGCAGAGCAACCAAACATAGGATATAGGGAGACAAAAAAATATATGGGACCCACATCATATTATATCCAATCCCACACTCATATTCGGCTTTTATATTTGGTAAACAAACAAGTCCTTAGGTCCTGTTAGGGATTTTTTTAAAAAAAAATAACTAATAAAGATAAAAATAATAATAAAATAAAATATGACATTTTACACATCAATCAATTATTTTATCTCTCACAATCATCTATCCAATTATAAAAAAATTCATAAATCATCTTAACAACAATTTTTTTTTCATTTTATAAAATAATTAAAAAGTCAAAAAACTAACTAAAGGACCATGATAAAACACTTAATATCCCCCACCCCCACACACATGTGGGGGTTAGTGATTGAACAAAAAAAAAAAAAAAGTTCTCACCAATGACCGCCCATTAGGGTCCTGGAGGTCTCCCCAGTGGTGATTCCAAACATTAGTGTTAACTAAAATAGTCAAGTTTTCAAACCAGACCTTCATCTGCAATATGGTTTGACCCTTTTCCTGTCAAGGTTTCAAATGATGACAAAAAAAAGAGTGGAAACAAAAAGGAATTGGTTTCTCTCTAGTCCCAAATTGGGCTGAAAAAGTGTTGTCTAGTCTATTGGGTCTACTTTTGAGTCTTATTTCGATGATTGGAACTATTCACATTTTAAGGTTCGTCGAGTATATCATTCTTACAAAAAATCAAATCGATCGAATAACGACAATCACATGTTCAAATCAGTTTTGTATGAAAAAAATGGACGTCAGAAAATAAACAGTTCATACAAAATTGATCCGAACACGTAATTTCTGTTATCCCGATTAACATGATTTTTTATAGGGATAATATACTTAACGAAAATTTTATTAATTATACTTTTATGTAATGTTTGATTATGACTCATTATATGTTTTTAATTATATGTTTATTATCGTATAGAGAAATTCTAGTGGGTACCATAAGCAACTTTGGTTATGATATTTATGTCTTTGGTTATGATTTATTTTGTTATTAGTTATAACATATTGTAATATTGATTATGACATTATTTTAATTAGAGCTAATTACACAAATCTTCCCCAAGGTAGGTATCTGAGAATTATAAAGACCTCTTCTACTTCTTCTGAAATTGTACTAACCTCCATTGTTAGAATTATTGATTGACAAACCTTAATAGAAAATGTACAATTATTATTTTACCCTGAGATAAAAGTATAATTCCATGACAATATATTTGTGATCAAATAAAATACAATTAAATATGCTTGGTTTGTATTTTATAAAAAAATATTGAAAAACTATTTTGAAAATTTTTAAAATTATTTCTGAGCTCCCAAAGACAAAATTATATCAAAATGATAAGTGTTTAGAATTTTTTTTTATTTCTTTCACCAAATTAATTTTTAATTTTTTAGAAAAAAAAAATTGAAACAAATTTTAGAAAACCAAACCAAACAACCAAACAACTTCCATTGATGGCTCAAGACATAATATAATGTATATTATATTATATAATATCAGCAAATACGTTGTGAGGTTATTACCACTCAAAAACTAAATCATTTTTTCTCAATTTTTTGATTTTATTTATTCTTTGTTAATTATATGTTACAATTTGATTGGTCTATAAATGATTTTGTATTTCTTAAATAAAGTTTAAAACTCTTTTAATTTGCCACAACATTATTATATCACTTCCTTAAATTATGTTATTGTAATTGAGAGGAGTATTTGTGTCGAACAAATGGGCTGACCTAAATCTAGTGTAGGCCTTCGTGCTTGACCGAACAACCGGACTGTTATGTAGGTCAAAGGATGAACTGAGATATCTTATGAGTTTGAGCCATGGGCTGGGCTGTACCCGTGCTTCAGTAATGAGCTGGGCTAAGCCAAGATTGAGGTCACTATCTAGAACTAAGTTGAAGATATCGATCGAGCTAATATGTGAAAGGCTACTAGGGTGACGAGCAAATGAGTTAACCGAGTTGTGAAAGATAATATCCATGGATCGATCTAAATGTAGAGAGCCCTGAAGGGCTTCGCTGAGCTGTAAGGCCGTCTGATGATGCCAACTTGTTTTAGCTCAACGTCAGAACACTCAGAGTTAGTACAGTTGCGGATAACTGAAGTGAGATTTGGTTACAAGTGATAGCTCGATCTGAACATTTCAAGTAGCCCAATGCAATGCAAGGAGATGAGATCGCTCAAAGTACACGTCAATACCATTTGGAAGTTTGGCCAATGTTGTTTGGTGGTATTGACGAGTACATGTATAAGGAAATGAGAGGAGGATAGTACATCCATGCGTTCGGCAAAGGATAATGGAAGTAGTGTGCGCACAACCTTGGAAAGTAAGGTAGCAATCTAGATAAGGTGTACGACTTCACTTAGAAAAGGGTAAGCAAACCTATACTGCTCACTCTCTTTACTCTCATTTATCTCTCAAGAGTGCTAACTTGATCGTTAAAAGGATTTTTTGGCAAAACATTTGCCAGGTAGCGCACCTTCATTGTGTTTCAGAAAGCAAGACGTCGTTCAGAGCAACACGAGCTTGGACACGAGGAGTACGGATGCGCCATCTGTGGGAATCTTGACAAAAAAAACTTTATCCTCCAACTTTTTGTGAACAACTCTAATGGCGAACAACAAAGACCTTCCGATTTTCACAGTTGATGGAGTAGCACCGCAATCTGTCAAAAGGCGCAAGGACTTACCTTTCGTTCTGCCGATGGCAAGCTTGGAGACTTTCATGCAAAGGCTGCTTATAGATGCGTGAGATAAGCACGCAATGAGCCCAGAACATTCGCGGAGACTTAAAAGGCGCCAGCAGCAGAAAGGGTCTCATACTTAGCTCCCGGAGAGCAGATTGAAGAACCAGGACACCATTATCCAAAGGTTGGCGGCGAAGATAGAAGCCATGAAATGACAGTTAAAGGGAAATGATGTAGTTAGAGTGGAAAACCACAGTAAGCGCACCCAGTCCCATCGTTCAAGCAACTGGAGAAGGCATGCGACACCTACCCTCTTCGTAAGCAGGAGCTACAGAATTGGCGCTTCCATGTCAAGGACAAAGAAGCCCTATACTCAAGACAACAGTTATCATCATTCATATCCGTCAACAACGTCCACATATTCTTTTTTCGCTTGATCGAAGGACTTGAGAGACGTCCTAGAGGAGACGACACGCTAGAGGGAGGCCCAAAGGGTGCTAGCGTTGCAAAAATTAGCCCTTTTATCTCATGGCAACGAAGAGGTCATAATGTTAACACCTCGTATTATGGTGTGCATACCGATGGATAGAGATTTTGCAAGACTAAACACCATCCATTTTTCCCTTGACAAATGAGGACACACCTCTTTAAGTGGGCTTCCACCAGCCAAAGTTCACCCTCTACAATGGAAAGACCGATCCATACATACACGTGAGCCACTACCGGTAAGTCATAGCGGGGCATAGGCGGAATGACGCCTTAATGAGTCTAATTTTCCCATTAAGTTTGAGCGAGCTAGGTCTAAATGGTTACAAAGGTTTCCAGAGGAAGCATCATGATGTAGCAGCAGTTGGCAGAGGCGTTTTTCACCAGATTCACAACAAACACAAAAACGTCAAAGGAAGTTGACCACCTTCTGGGAGTAAAAATGAAACAAAGTGATTTGCTCAAGTCGTATAATGCCAGATATTGAGAAATGTTCAATGAGATTCATGAATGTCCAACCAACCTGGCAATAGCTCAATACAAGCGAGGTTTACCAGTCTAACATAGGCTGAGCGACTTGCTCAAAATGAACCATCCCTTAACGATAGAGTTACTGATGTAGAGAATCAATAAGCACATAAGAGTTAAGGACGACGTAGCCGCAACCATCGTAAAGAAAAATCCAGTAATGGCGGACAAAATGGTTACAGGAAAGTTTTATGCGGTCGAACATGGGGATAATCGTCTGAACAATCGCGGAAGGGAGCAAAACTGTGGAGCAAACCACAACAACCGCAATAGGAGTCGTAACAATGACCAGACTAACAATCCTTGTGATGAAGAGAAAGATATTAGGAGAAAGTTGAATGCCCGAACTTGCATCACTACGATTTTCAAGATACCAATCTATCTTATCTTAAGTGAAATTCGTGACGAGGCATATGTTCGGTGGCCGGCTAAGTTGTGGAATGCATAGGGGGGTTCAATCCAAGGTACCACTGC